GGGGGGGGGGGGGGGGGGCTCTATTTTGGTGGTAGTTAGTGTGGTCTCCTATAGGGGACAGAGTTTTGTCATAGTACTTATTGGTTGTTTTGTGAGTTGGAATTGGTGAAATTGTTTTAGAATTTCCAATATTTGCTCTATTTCAATGAACATCACTGACTGATTCAGTTTTTCTTTTTCTTTTTTTTTTAAAATGTCACTCACTGGTGCTACGAAAATGCATCAAATAGTAATAATATTATGTTCTGTAGAATGGTGGGTACCATTTCATCTCAAGATGTTAACTTTTAATGAAGGGAATAATATGACCCCCGACATATGGATCTGATCCTTTTATCTTAAGCACAGTATTTTCACCAATGTATTCGGTCAACCTTTTATGCTCCCAAAGGAGAGTTATCATCAAGTGTGCAATCTAGAAAATTACATACCAGATAGCACAACCAAAGTAGTCAGTAACTCAGTATCTAAAGATACAATTCGATGCAAGTCTTCAGTGCCATATAACTTATGACCTTATGTATTTAGTGCGTAAATTCAATTGTATCTTGTGATACGAATAACTATTCTGCGACCCTTGTATAATACGTTCAGGATTCTGAATTTTGTTGGATAGCATCTGATTCAGGTTGGTTCATGCCGGATTTGATGGTGATATTGATAGTGAGATGAAAACAAAATTACTTTAAAGTCTTCAGTTTAATTGTCATTACTCTTTTGTCGTACTGTTGTGACTCGATTTTTCTACATTATCTTATTAAAATTGGGGCTTCTAGCATGCTTTTAGTCTCTCATTAATAAGCAATGATTGTCCATTCTCAAGCATTTTTTCTACGCATCCTTTTTAATGATGTTATATATCTTATGATACAGGTATGTTTCAGAAATTGGCATATCAATGGGAGGAATCCATTCCTTAAATCAGCAAAATCTCTTCATCAAGTGAAGAAAGTAAATGTTATAGAATATTCAACTTGTAGAAGATTGATGAACTAAATAATATCAGCAGTAGTGCAACCGACATGCCTGAAGTGCTTCAGAATCTGTTGTCATCAAATTGGTTATCTTTCCTGATGCAAACTTTTTACGACTTTCATGGGTTAACCTCAAAGACTTCCGGAAAACTGCTGCAACCTACAAAGCCAATTGGGGTTAAAACATAACATAATCATACCATCAGTGCATCAACAATGATTTATAAAGTTAAATAGTTGATGAGCTCTATATACCAGCAAGGACATAGACTGATGGAGCTGAACATATACAGAGTCTACAAGAAGCTACAAGCAGCTAAACTAACTCCAGAGTAACTCAAAAACAAGAACCAGGACAATGCACAAATACAAGTCAAATCAAGAAATCACTTTAACTCATATCAATAGTCACTCAAAAGAGAGTTTTAACAGACAACCTAAAAAAGTATTTCCAATATGAATCATATTTAATGGTTAGTGTAGAAATTGATCTCCGGCACCTCTGCAATGCAAGTGTAGAACTACCAAAATTGAACATACATAACTTGGTTTTAACGGGTAAAAGAAATTCCCGACTGCTAACATATACCTATATATATATATTTTGTGTTAGGTGATCGTAAAATATTCTATCCAGCAGGATGATTATTGTCATGAAAATTAATGCAAAAAAACAAGGACTATGGCCAAAACATAATTACAAGTACAGGAGCCAGTGCTTCAAACAGACTCCTGATAGCTCTTAAAAATAAGACAAACCTGAGATCCAAGTCTTGCATGTTAGGATAAAACAGAAAGGGATAAGAATAAACCTCATAGAGAGATATCAGCTATCAATAGAAATTGTAGTTCATACATAAGCGAGCACAGAAAAAGGAAAAAGAGAGGATGAAGAAGGTTGGTGATATATACCCATTGTGTTACATAATCCCAACATTACAGAAATTTATGTCACCTCTAAATGTAACCTAGGAGGCTTGGACAAACACTAGAAAGAAGAGAGGACGATAGAATAAAGAACGAATCTGAATTACCAAAGTAGATCTGAGGCGAAATCCAACACGCATGACATTCTGAAAATACTGAGCTTCACAGAGAACTCCAAACACCTAGAAGAGAATTTGTGCTTAAATAATGTCAGTTTCACAGTTGCATATCAAACAGAGCCAGCCAGAGGCCAATGGTGGAAGAAAGTTAATTAAAGTTTATTTAAAAGAAAAAACTATAACGTTCTAATCACACTCTCAGTAGGTGTCACAGGAATAGGCGAAAANGGGGGTTAGATATATGGCCTCCAGCTAATTGCATACAATTTCTTCAGTCAGACCAAAAAGGCCTCAAACATATAGCAGGTACTAGGACCTTTATGCATGCCAATTCAATTTGACGTAACCACTGCGTAAGATTTGGTTTTTCAGAGTAAGTCCAATATGCAAGCAGGCTGAAGACATTTTCTGAAATAGTCAAATACAGAGAGACCAGATTATAGTATCTTGGTATTCACAAGTTGGCATAGAATTCATACCACTCCAACAAAAATCGTGAATGCATAGATGTAGCCTATCCATGCTGGATCACCTCGTTGCATAGACTGTTGAATGGAGATACAAGAGACAATGATCAGATGTCAGAAAATTTTAAAAGAAAAAAGAACAAGAGGGAAATCTAATGGAAGGAATTCTAACAAGCCATTATCAGATCATCTCCAAACATTATGATGTCAGACGTGGACATTATTTGTATTGAAAACTACCACTTTTAAAGGGTAATTTTCACATCATGATCACAATTGACTTTGTTAACCTAATTATGCACATCAGAGAAATGTAAACAATGAATAAGAAATATCACTACTTTTGGAAAAATATTAATTCATCTTGGTGCCTGGCACCAAGGATGCATCGATGCATATCAAATACAAACTAAACGACTTGCAATTCAAAGAGTATAAATTAAGATTTTTTTATAAGCATATAAAATAAGATTTGTACTCAACCAAAGCAAAAGAGAAGCTAATGGCAACGATGATTACCAAAATAACGATAACCAAATGGTAGTCTTAGGCTTCAGGAAAGTTGCTAATCCCTTCAAAACTTTTCCAAACTCCTCCATATAAAGTTCCAAATAAAAACCAATACGGAGTCACACCTCACAACAGGCCTGCTGCATGATCAGAAAAAGATAAGGATATCCTTACCACATCCCTACTTGCCTCCAATACATGAAGCACCAACTAACAAACTATAATTGTGCTCCTTGCGTATCCTATCATCTAGGTTGCAGCCTTTATCCCACTTTTCTTGTCAAAAAGAAAAACTATGTACTTACTGCTGCATTCCAAAGGCCAATAAATGATAATTTTGGTGGAGATCATTTTAAGAAGTTTAAAGGTGCAGATATAAAAGGACAAAAGGAAGATGGCACCTAAAACTAGTTGGGAGCTACAAAAACCTCATCACCAGATCCACAACTACTCTAGCCATCAAAGCAAGTATAAAATAAATTAGGATACCAGAAGATATTGGTATACCATCTTTTTCTCAGGACACAAAAGGGGTCTGGATAAAAGTCCTTACAAGCATCAATTTACAGAATGTGCAAAACTGAAATTGCTTTTTACCTGTAAGAGTTGGTTTAGAATAAGTGGTCCAATGAACTGGGAAGCATCATTTCCAATCTACATGTTGGAAAAGAAACATAGAGAAGTTACAAATTTGTTATTTCAACTAAATACTCATGATATAAGAAAACAAATGTTACTTCAAAAACATGTCTTCAGTATGCCTTATAGTACTTCCGGTAGATAAAACATAAAATTTGTAAGACAACACATGCCTAAACTTTGGTGTTTACAAAGTCAAATTAACTAAAACACATTTATCTTATACACGTATTTCAGAAAGTAAAAAGTTATGTAAGGTAGAAGAGAGAAGGGAAAAAAGAAATGTACAGATATAGAACTATGAATGTGTGCTGCATACATAAATTTATACATGTGCGCACGTGAACATGTGTCTCTACATCCCTATATTATTGATGCAAGCAAACATCTAAATAACAATAATAGCTTATACAACAAACTAGTTCAGAGTTGACTATAAATTCCTCTATATCCATTTGGCTCCATTCAGCACGTTTCATTTTACTACTTATAACTCACATAAATTCTTTACGGATACAGATATGTCAACTTCCCATCTGAAGCAGAGCTTCAGAAAGAAGGTTTTTTGACAAACAGACCACTCTTAAGAGGTGGTAAAAGTCCAAAACACTCATAAACATCTACAAGTGCTCCCATGTAAAGCGGAGCAATCATGATATATAAGAACCCCTCTCTCTAACTATCTCTCCCCCTCTCCCTCTACATCTTTAACTCTCTTTCTTCCTTTCTCTCTCTCTCTCTCAAGCCCTGCAACTTCTGCGGGTAGTTTCAGAAAGCATACCATTACCTAATGACATTATGCTTCACATATAGTGTACTTCTGGACATCAGTTTTCATTGACGATCAAAGGAACAGTTACTAGCACATACGCATACGCATATTCAATCATGCAACATATTCTAGACTTCAATGTAATAACAAGAAGATACAAATATGGTTCCAGAAGTGAGCCTTCTAAGTCCAAAAGAGCAAGCTTGTCCACTTCCTTAAACTTGTAACATAAAATTACAGAGCATAGAGCTTTTACGTGATGCATTCTAATTATTATCTGATTAATTCAAGAACTATTATTAACCAACTAAGACGTAACAAATGAAATCAACTACCTTCCAGAAGCCTCCCCACCAAAACCTGCAAACATAGAAAGATGGAAAAATGTTTAGTAACATAAAATATCAACTGATCGAGCAATGTATATCTTGGTATGAAAAAATCAGCAAAACAGAAGCATGAAACATAGGCAAACATTTTTACCTTCCACCAAGACTACGGTTTAAAGCTCTTAAAAGCCATGGTTTAGGTCTTTGAGCCTCCTCTGCCCAACTCTTTTGAAACCTAAATAGTTTATAAGAATAATAATATATCTGCTTCACCAAATTCGGTTTTGACTTTCTTTTCCCCAATAAGTTAGTCACTTTCTGGGATTTAAACTAAATCTTAAATGATGAAAAGAAGAAGGAAGGGAGCACACTTACGAGTTGTTCAGAGTTTCAGTGCGATCCCAAGTATCCAGTTTCCACACATCCTTTTCTGTCAATGGTCTTTTATAACCAAGTTGCATAAGAGGATTCATCCATGAAAAAGTAATTTCTGCATAAGAAAGTGAGCGGCAAATATCAGGTCCCTTGCAGCTGGATGCTGATCAAAAGGAAAATAATTGATTATAGATATGCTATTAATTTATCCTCTCCTGAACAAGTTATTTCACGAATACTTTTCTTTCTTAAGTAAGTTAAGGTAATTTCATCAATAGGCACACCAAGATGGAATCAAAAGCTTTGTACTACATTGATTTAGCTGTGAGCTTCAGAAGAATCTAACTATTATAAGCAAAGGTATCTTTTCTTCCCACAAAAAGTACAATAAAGATACAAAGTAACTCTTCACGCTCTATGGAGAAACTGTCGACAGCTTTAGAACCTCGTTGCTCTTCCCTTTCCGAATTAACCATTAAGCGCAAAGGGTAGGCCTACTTTCCATGCTTCCTTACTTCTATCTTCTATCTTCTTCAACCTCCACTCACCAGAGTATCCTCTTATACAACACCATGCTATTTTTGAGAAGAATACAATACCATGCTATACTGAATAAGAAAAAGAACAATCTACAACTCATTTGTACATCTGCAGAGTACCAAAGCAAATAATCTCTATCTTCATAATGACTTTATACATAAAGCGCCAGCTCGCGACAATCCTCTTCTTACTTAGATATTTGCTACGACCATTTCTGGTAGCCCATTCCAAAAAGAAACCTCCGTTGGCGCCTGTTTCCAGATGGAATTCCATATACGTCTTGGGTGACCTCCTTTGAAAATGCATGCATAAAAAAGATTTGGCTTCGAGCGTCTTCCTCTTAGACCTTTTCCATAGCATACTCTTCTTTCCAATAACGCAAGAATAACAGATGCATGATCACATAGATCCAAGAGCACGAATCTTCAAAGTTGCCAAACCACAGGCATCGAACCAAGTGTGAATGCGGTTACCCTCCCCACTTCAAAATACTCCCTCCGTCCCTCCGTTCCAGATTATGTGAACCTATTTCCTTTTTGGTCCGTTCCAAAAAGAATGACCCCTTTCTAAATTTGGAAACAATTTAGCTTAAACTCCCAATTCCACCCTTAATGGGAAGCCTTTATAACCACACAAATACCTTGGACCCCTTTTTGTTGTTTAGGACCACAAATTCCAAAAGTCTTCATTTTTTCTTAAACTTCATGCCCAGTCAAACAGGTTCACATAAATTGGAACGGAGGGAGTAAATGAATTTGAGAAGATGAACTTCTCTTACATTATCCCCTTCCACAAACCCATCCAAAGCAAGCTTGTAGCTTCCTTCAGCAATACACAAATTAAAGTCAACCTTTGATTTTATTACCTGTACAAGCATATTTGTGTCTAACTATCTAAAAAAAATTAAAGCCAGCCTTTGAACCTGGATGGAATCGACTCCATCAAATTCAAAATTTTAATGGGTTTTCGGCCATCTCTGACTAACTACGTTACCATCAGGTACACCAATTGTATTAGCAGGAAGGACATACTAAAAAAAGAGTTCCCCATATAAGTGGAACTTTGATGCCCCAGTAACCATTTTTGGAGAAGAGTAATACTTAAACTTTTGAAAGACACGGCTCGTTGGCACCACAGGCATGGGTTTACACACCAGCTTTTCCTTCTGCAAGAACTGTTATGTAAAGTTCTCTCCTTAACCAATCTGGGATTCTAGAAATCCTAGAATTCTCCTTATTTACTTTGCTTACCCTTTTAAGTGTCTCCTTCCTCCAACTTGTTCACCATCCCTTTGTCTGTGCCAATCTTATATCCAACTCTTTCTACACTTTGAAGCTAATGTTATGCCCAATATGAATAGACATCTGTGCATGATGAAACTACCAATTTGGGAGCTAATAACATATTTGTAGTCTCCCATCACAGCAAACACTAATTTAAAGCTCCCCATACCCCCTCTCACCAAAGAAATAAGAAATGAAGAGGTCAAAGTAGAATTTATCAACGAGACGCAAGTGTGCTGAAGTTCATAGGTGGACATATACATCCATAGATAGATATCACATTACTAGACGGATGTTTGATGCATCAGTGATCTGGTCAAGTACTCAAGTTCCCAGGATCTGCCCCCAGTTGGGAAGTACCCGAATTCCATATCAGCTGAAATCTGTGCTCATGTCATAATTAAACTTATGAAGGACGTTAAAACCTAAATTATTAAGTGCTTAAAAAAATATCTAGTCACATACTGGCAAATATGTTGGCATGCCTCTCCGGACAAATCTGCTCTGCTTCAGGAAGTTCTTCATATGTAGTGTTGTCGAAAGATTCACTTCGAAGTGGGGAGTAGCCGGGATAAGGATCCATGTTAGGAATATAAAACAGCAGCAACAATCCAAACAATACCTACACATAAGAAACAATAAGACTGGACTCAGTTTAATCCTTTACTTAAAAGTTAAAACCATGCGATCCAATAATTCCCTCATAAGAATGCACCCTTAACTTCAAGAGTGCAAATTGGCAATCAAAACTTGAGTCAATCCCATGCTTAAAAAATTACTAACTATCTTACTAATGAAAAGTTGAATTATCTATTTAGCCTCAGGGATAGACACAGCGCACTCCAAACATAGAGGTGCCTACATGGAATGATGGATTTGTCTCCTCTAGTTTTCAAGCTTCATTCAATTCAATCTTCATAATATTTTGATCCAGGTTTGTGTAAAGAGAATTCATAATTTGGGCTTCAATTCAGTGGCATCATTCTGTGAAGTCTTGGTAATTTCAAGCATAAATTCAAATTAATCGAGAACAATTTTTTATTATTTAATAGTTTAGAATGACAACAAGTGTCAATTTATATCAAAAGTAGGGAACGAGACCTAAAACAGTCTCACAAGAATTGGTAACTAAACAGTCACTGCATGGTTTGGGACAATATATTGGCAATGCTAATAAGGAATATCAAGGAAGACCGATTAGTGAACATATACCCCACATCTAATATACAATCCATTTCATTTTATGTGTCTTAGTTTGACTAGAAGAAGATTTTTGAAACTTGTGGTCTTAACGAAAAGTGTGTGTAACATACCAAAATTATCCTTTGAATCTTGGTCCTAGACATGTCATGTCATTCCTATAATGCATAAAGGGTAAAATGTGAATGTTGGAATAAAAACTTAACAAATATAAAAATGTGGCGTTCTTTTTGAAACAGATCAAAAAGAAAAGACTCAAAAATTGAAACCGAGGTAGTAGTTGCAATAACAATTTTAAATTTGGCACATCAAACTTCGGAATTTGTCTATGTAAAAAGATGTATAGTTTGTGAAATTACACACAATTGTAGCATGAGTAGAATGTCTGCTACCCATTGCTTATAACCAACTTCAAGGGGAAAAAACTTTACTTTAAAAGTATTGGGACCTTCTGGTGACACCATAAAGGAGTTTTATTGCCAGTCACATATTTTATATTCTCTCATGCTCTTGGTCCTATTTGATGAACTTGTGTTTTATTTCCCTTTAAGTAAATTTATCATAACAAACCAAGAAAAGCTTCAATTCTGAGGGAAAATAACTGCTAATGTACTCACAGATTCCAAATTTTCCTATTTCATCAGTAAAACCTAAACCATTCACAAAAATGAAGTTTCTTAACTATGCAACTAGCTAGTTTTAACACAGAGACCAGAAAAGGACTAACCCTGCCATCTTTTCGAATTCAGGAATATTTCATGAACTATAAACACAGGAAGTTATAAAAATTCCTCTGTTCTGAGAAAATTCCAGAAGCATGAAATACAAAGAAAATTGTGAAATGGAAGAAGATAAAAGTAAGTTAGATTAAGACTCCAATAAGGTAAAGCAACTTTTGCTCCACGAATGAACTGCAGCGAGTTCCAAACTTCAGTCCAATCATTAAGCTTACTTTCCCTTGTTTTTATTCTAAGGTCGGATTCGGGTAGGTAGCTCGAACATAGGCACTTTGACAGGAAAGTCGACAGAATTAGTGGATACCCTAAAAAGGAGGAAAGTTGATACTGCATGCCAACAGGAAACTAAACGGACAGGGCAACTAGAGAGATAGGTAACACAGGTTATAAATTATGGTATTGTGGGATAGATAAAAATAGGAATGGTGGGCATTATTGTAGAACCAGGACTTAAAGATAAAGTTATAAGAGGTAAAACGAGTTGGGAATATGACTATCGCATTATGGCTTGTACGAGAAAGGAGACAATCAATGTTATTAGTGCATATGCTCCACAAATACGCTCAAGTAACATTTCTTGACTATTTACATGATATGAACTCTAGAGCACATGAAAGATGATAAAGCAACAAACCTGGACAGCAACCTCACTGATGTACAAATACAGTACTGATCTGCAGATAAAGATAGACAGCTTTGATTAGCAAGAAAAGAGAAAGATGTGAATGAGATTGTTCAAAACTGGTGAGTATATCTGTTCATATCAGAATTTTAAGAGTTTTAGAACTCAAATCTACAAAGAAAATAATGACCCCTGATATGCCACCTAAACATCAACCGGAAGCGGCAGGCATTGAGCCATTGACTAGTGATATTGCTCAGCTCCCACTATTTTTTAGCTTGTTCCCATAAAGACCTTCATCAGAAGTAGAGCAGCAGCATATATTCAGGACTTGCTCTTTTTTATTTTCTTTTTCCGTGAAGGAATTATTGTTGACAAGCAGGGACCATCCTTAACTCACAATGAGATTTTACTTATACTTTTAATTCTTTCCCCCTATTCTTCTTTTTTTTTTTCCTTTTTCTTTTTATTTTTAGTGTTAGGGTTTCGGGTGGGGGTTGGGGGATAAAATCATAGCCCTTGAATGAGAAAATATACTCATGGATGACTCAAAAGATTTTGCTTAGGATGCAGTTATAACTCTAATGCAAAGCACGCTCACTAAAAACCGTAACTGGGGGCGGGCGTGACAGGGAAGGGGGGGTCAGAATAAGAACCCCCCCCCCCCCC